CTTTATTTTGACAGCTACCTGATTTCATCGGAATTCAGACATGATACCATAACATACAGAACTACTGGAATTTTAGGTTTGTTTCTTCCAAAAATTGCGTTGTCTGTATGTGGGTACATGGGTTGGTGATAGCATTTTTGTGTGGGTTCATGTGGTTGGCGAGTGGGGTGGGGCCATCTGATTTTTTTGTTTTAAAGACATTATACCATAACAGACAGAACTGATGGAATTTTAGGTTTATTTCTCCCGAGAATGCAGTGTTAGTTTTTTGGGTGTCCTGAAAAGTTCAGTTGCCGCCATTGCTATCGTTTACGTTAACCTTTATAGGCGGTGATCTTTTGTCGGCAAAAGTCTCTCAACGACAGAAAGCTATACTTCTCAGTCTGTTTGTATCAACTGTAACATCAGAAAGATGTACTTTCTGTACCTGAAAGCTCTTTTATGTTTATTCCACTTGATCGCAGTTGTCGCCTAAAGTCTCTGAGACTGAAAGCTCTTCCATGTTTATTTTGACAAGGGGTTGTATACAAATAGAAAAATCAGAAGTATTTTCCAATTATATTAGTAAAATGGACTGCAAGTTGAATACAGGTGATAAGCGTACCCCCTACCATCATTAGCTATTATTATATGTAATTATATAATATTATATCATATGAACAGAGGGAATAAGACCGACTAATGTAATCATTTACATCTTGTCTTAATTATGTCATTATCGGTATAGATAAATTATTTATATACCGAATTATGGCGTTAATAACTCAACATGCTTTAAAGGTTGGGACAATGGTGCTTACGAGTTCGAATCTCAATATCAACAACTTAAAGGGAAAGGTGCGCCATTCGTTCGACCAATTATACCCATAGTCTCAGAAACGGGATTCTTTTAGCTAAGCCAATCAGTAATAGTGTTCACAGCTCACCTTCACAATTTTATAGTATTTTTGAAGGAATTAAACGATTTTCATACATTTCTAGTATTTCTGAAAAAGTAATTACATATATCCAAGACCTAAATCAACTCCTGAAAATGGTACATCTGCACCTTTAAGTCTGATGCCTTCTTCAATAATTCATCACTCCTCCTTTAATTATCCCATTCTGACCATATTGGAAACGAACGGATAATCTAGAAACTGTACCCGAACTTCTGGCATTGTGAATTACCCATGTATATGTAAAGAAAGAACCACAAAAGCTGATTAATAAGGCAAGGTGACTACGCCGACCATTGATCAAAGAATATTTCTTCTGTATCCATACTTATTAGCCAATATCTATGGTACCAGTGAACTCTATCAGCTGGTAAAGTAAATATTTAGATGACTATATAGATAGCTGAAATTGAGCTCTATCAGCTGGTAAAGTAAATATTTAGAAGACTATACAGAAAGCTGAAATTGAGCTCAGCTGGTAAAGTAAATATTCAGAAGACTATACAGATAGCTGAAATAGAGCTCTATCAGCTGGTAAAGTAAATATTCAGAAGACTATACAGAGAGCTGAAATAGAGCTCTATCATCTGGTAAAGTAAATATTTAGAAGACTATACAGAAAGCTGAAATTGAGCTCAGCTGGTAAAGTAAATATTCAGATGACTATACAGATAGCTGAAATAGAGCTCTATCAGCTGGTAAAGTAAATATTTAGACGACTTTACAGAGAGCTGAAATATAGTTCTATCAGCTGGTAAAGTAAATATTTAGAAGACTATACAGAAAGCTGAAATTGAGCTCAGCTGGTAAAGTAAATATTCAGAAGACTATACAGATAGCTGAAATAGAGCTCTATCAGCTGATAAAGTAAATATTTAGATGACTATACAGAGAGCTGAAAATATATAGTTCTATCAGCTGGTAAAGTAAATATTTAGATGACTATACAGAGAGCTGAAAATATATAGTTCTATCAGCTGGTAAAGTAATTATTTAAACGACTATACAGATCGCTGAAATTGGGCTCTATCAGCTGGTAAAGTAAATATTTAGACGACTATACAGATAGCTGAAATTGAGCTCTATCAGCTGGTAAAGTAAATATTTAGACGACTATACAGATAGCTGAAATTGAGCTCTATCAGCTGGTAACGTAAATATTTAGACGACTATACAGACAACTGAAATCGAGCTCTATCTAAAGTAAAGTAAATATTTAGACGATTACATACCTTTAATGTAATTATTATGTAATGATTGTACCACAGTGTTTCTATAATGGTATTAATTATTCTTCTAATTAACACTGTATTAATTAATCTTAATTTAGACCCAGATTCAGTTTCAGACCGGAGAAACTATTAGCTTGGAGCTTACAGACCAGACCAGAAAACCTTGTACAAAAGCAATTGAACAGAATTTCAGGGATATCTCTCACTTCTTCTCACACACTGAATGTCAAAAGTTTGACCAATTGTTTTCAAAATTGGGAAATAATTTAATGTTCTGGCTTATTTACAAATATTGACGAAAATTACAATTCACATAAATAATGACAAAAATATCACAGTATAGAAATAGAACAAAATGCACATTCAATGCGCGTACATTACACAGTATGTAGGTCAACTGATAACAGGAACATTGAAACACGCCAGTTTTCATCCACAGTCACAAAAAAACATTTCAATTCACAACTAATCGGCACACCTCCAACATATGTTTGTGAAGATATCGTTTTTGTGCGAAACCCCGGCCGCATTTCGTACACACGTGAGTTTTATGTTTATTGGAATGAATCAACATGTGCGATCGCAAGTTTGATTTGTCTGCGAAGGCCTTGTCGCACTCCTCATCTGGACAATTAAAGGGTCTCTCCCCTGTATGAGTACGAAGGTGACCCTTTAACAACCATGATCTAGAGAAAATCTTTCCACATTCATGACACTTGTTCTCGGCTTTTCCATGACGCCGAATATGGGACTGAAGAGCTGAAAAGAGGAAGAATTCTTTACCACATTGTGAACAGGCTTGAAGACCGTTCTTACAGTATTTTTCACGTTCTTCCAGTCTCTCAAGTTCTCTTTTATTCTGTTCATTAACCGCCTGGTTGTTCGGTTTGACGAAAAATAACGAACTAGCATCGGCTAATGTAACAATCTTCTGAGATCGCCCTTTCAACTGCACCTGTGATCCGGCCGCGGAGGAGGGTTTGGTCAGTCTGTTAACGAACGAATATGTTAACTTCGGTCCAAGGGTTGTACACACTAAATTGCTAGCTTGAAGATAATTGATGCTTTCTGTTACATTGAATTTAGTTGCAGCCTTGCTTGACTTGCTTCCTGCCTTTGACTGGTGTTCTCTCATTGAAACCTTGGTCGTTGATTTCAAAATTTCCTCTGATTTGTTGTTCACTACGTCTATCTCCGGACTGGCGGATTTTCTACTTCTTTTTGGTGATTTTGAATTCTCTTCAAAAGTGCTGTTGGATTCGTCACTAGATTGAGAGTAGGTACACGGCGAATCGTCCACGGATCCAATGCACACATCGTCCTCGCTATCCGAATCCGACTCCGTCAACGCGTCGTTCGCACGGGTATGATCAATACGGAACAATTCTGCTTTCCAGTCAGCGAATGCCTTTGGTGAGGTTTCCACGTTAGGAATTCTCTGACTTAGATGAAACCTTGTGACTAAGGAAAGATAACTCAATGAGCGCTTTTTGGTGTAAACTTCTTTTTTCTTGGGCTGCTGTGTTTGTTCTTTGATAAAATCTGGGGGAGAGGGAATTTTCCTACCACTGCCGAGAGTTGAGCCCCTTGGTAAAGTGTTGATAGATAAACCAGAACGAGTTGTCATCACAAATGGATCGTAAACTGCAAAAAAAAAAAAAGAAAATTAAATTGAAGTTGAAAAACACTTTTATTTTTATTTTGAGGACAAAATAACAGAATATTGATTGTTGTGAATGAATTCGGAACAGTCTGAATTAGAAAAAGCCCGAAATTGTTCAAAAACACGCATAAAAGAGGGCTAGATTTCTCCAGACGTTTGACCGCAAAAGGGTTAACGGGCACCTGCTAAATTTATCACATGACCCAAAAACAATGTTGCAAAAAAGAAATGACGTCAGTTTAACTTTTAAGTCTTCTGCTACATTATCTAAGTTTGTCCATCATTTCATTATGATCTAAAATCAACCCCATATCATTTATTTACATTTTTCCTTCAATGATTTCACCCTTTCAATGGATAATTCTGCATTGAAAGGGTGAAATCACCATTATAAATTACAAATTTAATCCAAAATAGCGAAGCGAAATAAAATCTGCTTAATTTTTAATTAGGCCTAATCTTTGTGTTGTACTGACACTGTGTCAGTGTGGGGCACCTGCAAGATAGATTGTTTTATATGTCAAACCATATTGATTTCTTGTTTCGGACTAATTACCGAGTAAAGGTGTACCATGTAACTAACAAAACACAATAAAGCACGTCTACTAAGGCTAAATCGAGACCGAAGAACTAATAAATCAAATAAAAATATCAGTGAACAAGACGTCGACGTCAAATCTAGGCCAGGTCACTGTGACACGACATTTTTTCTTGATTATTTTGTGTTTATGTGTAGTTTTTCAACTTACCAAAACTTCCATGATACTTCCCACGTTTATAATCTCTTACAGAATTCATCAGACATCTCGGCATCTTGTTTCAGAAGTTTAAATTTTGATGGATGAGAGGTCGGTGCGTTGAAATCGCGATCTTCTAAAAAACGTCAGTAAAAATAACGGTGTTGTTTGGGTAGCAACCAGGAACTTGCGCACGCGCAATATGACGTATTAGGGGAATTCCACGCAAGCACCTGACTCAAAACGTAAACAAATCGAAAGTAGAAATGTCAAAATGCATAAGTGTGCCTGAAACAGTTTTCAGCCCAGTTTCTTTTCATTGTTCAGAAGTCTATCACTAAGGCGATAGTACGTTGTATTGCATCCCACATAAACCCTATAGTAATTTCTGCAACGTCTTCGAAAATACAAGAGACGCTTTTGAGAAAAACTAGACCAACCCGAAACCTAAGCCAACATTATTTGTGAGTCTTCGTTCTGTGTATTAGCTTGAATTAGAGGTGGATGTAAAAGCAATATCGTGTTGATAAATTATTGCAAAAGTCTCTCTTGATGTAGCTCAGCCTATACGACATGTCATGTGGTAAAACACCGAGGGTTATACATGGAGTAAAACACCGAGGGCTTTAAACCATGATCTGACAAAAAAGAAGAAAAAAAAAAGAGATCGTTGATATACAACAGCTTTAATTCGCAAGCTTATGACCTTTTGTTGATGGTTAGGAACACAACAACAATGTGCAACAAGATCCCGAAGCATTACAAAAATCAAGAACGTCAAATTGTCTAGCAACGAAAGCAATATCTGGACGTGACGTGACGTCACTTGAATTTCCGAGGCAGCTAAAAACGAGAGAACAGTAAAGATGGAGGTGGGGACTAGAATAACATTAGATCCTCCGCCAATCCGCGATTCCAGCTCAGTAAAGGGAGTAGAGAGAAGCGCAGTTCGGCAGATTCTGGCCTACCTCACTATCAGTGATGACCAAGATTTCTTCCAAATTGGGAACAAGAATCGGGAAATGCCAATGGAGGCTGCGACAAGTTCCCGATGGGACCTTCCCAGTCCCGACAAGAAAATAAAATTGGACGTTGGAGAACATGTGACAACTTTGACAGCAGAAGAATTATTTCGTTTCGTTACTTCAGATCATCGGTATTTAAAAATGGACGGAAACGCTGGAAATTGTGGAGACAATGGTATGAATTCGGTTCCAAATGCTGCAGAAATTCAGAAATTTTTCTTAGAAACCATCAACCGGATCGCTTTTCAACCAATCAAAGACGCGGAGACAAAACACGACGTGGAGTCAGAAATTCTCGAGGATGATGACGAAGATGATGATGATGAGGACCTCTCTGAAGCCAGTGAAGGAATCATTAGGGACCATCGTATTGAGAGCGTGAAGAAAGGGTCACGGAGAGCCTCCAAAGACATAAACAAGACTCCATTGTCTTCTACATCTATCACTTGGAAAGAATTAGAAAAAAGACGACAAGAGAAGGAAATTTATTCATACGAGTGTCGAGCTGTTCAAGGGAAAGCTGAGAAAAATTCACTCATTAAATATGCGTCGGAGTTGTTAGAGAGCTCCTGGAAGCAGTATCTCTCTACACCAACAGAACAACTGAACCATCAAAACGAAAAGCCGGAAGAGCAAGAATCAGGTCCAACAGACGATGTTATTGAAATGTTGGAAGACAGAAGTCGATATGTTTGGCAGATCATTGATGAAATGCCGCCAAGAAATTTACCACTGTCGTTTTAGATCTTTGTTTTCAGTGCTGCACCATAGTCTTTCAAAAAAATGCATGATTATCGATTTTCAAATAGACCTAGACAATTCCTCCTTAATCTAAACCGATGTGTTTTTGGGTTGGGATCGGAAAAAACTTAGCTACTGGTAGGATCCCCATATAAAGGCAAACATTGTTCCCCGACCCTTAAACATGTTGTCCTAGTACGACCCGAATCCTGTTTCACAATACTTAATTTTAAGATGATATTAGTGCTTCAGACATTTGATTGGTCAATCGCTAAAATTAATAGTATACAGATGTCAACCAATCAGATTACTGAATTTTTTGAATATCGTGAATGTATCTTGGTTAAAATGTTGTGACACGGGCTTCAGTATGCTTTGAAGGGATCGCCTTTTCCCCGGGTATTTCAGGCTAATTGAAAGTCGTAAATAATGATCAGTATACTTATATTCTAATGTATTTCTTTCTATATGTAATAAAACACGTGCAAATTGTAGCGTGACCTTTTAATCCAAACCTCGATAACCTCGCAGCTCGTGTTATCTGGGTGATCACATGTAATTAAAGAACAGTTCTGGACTGAATGGATCTTTGCAAGATGAAGATGCGTTTGAAAACGATTCTAGAGATTTTCTTGCAATGTTCACCCAGCAATTCCAACTGCCCGTTCGACGTCTTTGATTCGTGTACTTGGTCAGATTTATGTTGTGACTATAGCAACAATTTTGCATCAGCTATGGTTCAAATGTATGAATGATTTGCGGACTTACCGTACCGCATTATGTTCAGATAATCTTCGCATTGGCTTGTGTGGCGCCATTTACGATGGGAGATAACCCATTTATAATAAGACAATTCAAGACTACAAAAAAACTCAATAGTATCTTAACGAGGCTTTTAGTTCATTTGTCAAAATGAACATCTCTAAATAAAGGTTCTATCTGAAGATTTATCATTAATCTTACAATACCTTAAACAAGCCACAGAATGCAGTGGGGATACAGGGGGTGGGGGTGTCATGATTTTTATACGCTTTTGCCATAACATATGTGTCAGAATGCACCAAATCAATTCAATTTTTCCAAAAGTTTCTTTGGAGAACCTTCTCAGACTCTCCCTGAGAGATTTGTGACAAGATGCCAACACAGAGTTGCCGCATTTGAATTCAGCCTTGACAGGTTGCCCCCCATTGAGTCAATCTGCCACTTTGTAAAATGAATAACATAACACTGATAGTAACTTTTTAAGAAAATATTTAATTTAACTCAAGAAGTTTATATTACATTTTGATTTCAGTCAAAACTGTACAATTTTGATAATAACAATGTACAATATAGTTATTGAGTAGCATATATTTTAACAGTGAAAATATTTATTTATGTATAAAACAATTTTCTTCACAGGGAAAAATAATACATATATTCACATTTCTTCATGCTTTAATTATTCAAACAAAATTATAGAAATAGAAATATTAAAACAGAACCTGAAACATGTTGTTACTCCAGATTTTCATGCTGTGAGATCTTCAGACAACTGACTTATTTAAGCCTATGTCTGACAAGAAGAGATCTTAAGATAACTGATCTATTTCAGCCTGCATCCTAACTGAAGTTTGTCCAGTAGAACTTGCTCATTAATGATGAAACCTTTAACAGAGTTTAAACTCAAGTTACATCATTTGGTTTTATTTGTGTAGGTTTCGATTCACCATTGGAATAACTGGAACAATAATATCATCAACAGTTAGTTTTTGAGAACATTGTCCCTGAGTATTACGAGAACTGCAAAGTAATTCTTCAAATTTCATCAAGAATTGCTGTCAGACACACTTAACTGAATTAAATTTCCTTGAATGTTAATTTTCGACAAATTCTTCCACTTTTCTTCCCAGACCTGTTTGACACAGTCTGAATCAACCTTGTCAAGGTTATCACAGGTCAAGGACAAATAGCGTAGAGGTGATTCACGATTGACGATATCACTAAGAGCGTCTAGAAATTGGGTATCCAGTGGTGATTTTACTGAACAACCATTGGCTATAATTTCATCCAGTTTGCTAGATGACTCGAGAGCTGTTTGATGTAAAAGTTGCTGTAAAGTTTGGTTTGTGATTCGATTATTTTTAGAAATCGTAAGTTTGTGAATTCGTGGACAAGAAGCTGGTAGTCTGAAATAAAAAAATAAAATAAAAATATCACAGTAAATCAATCCTAGAGACAAATGGTTGGGAAATTTTACATTTATATAAACACAACTACCTCTCGGACTTTTTCTGAGTGAAAAATATCCTTAATTCTTTTATATCACCTGCCATTTTCATCAACCCAAAGACAATCCAAGACTCACTGAACTCTGTTGGAGTTGATATAAATATAACTAGTAAAATTCTGTACCTCGTTATAAAGTGAAGATCATCTGTAGATAGATTACAAGCTGATATATCTAACTCTTCTAAACTACATCCAGACTGGAAAAGAGAAACATCAAAATATTTTTTGAGCAATTTGCTTGTTTAATGACCCTGAATCCAAGCTAAAAGAGAGCAGACTGACTAAATGGTTGTGATTGGGATTCCAATGGACAAAACCTATCTTTAAGATAATGGGGTTCTCTCTCCCAGAAAAAGAATTAATCGGTGTATTCTCAAATATATTAAGAGGGCAAAATGTATGAATTTTATATTGTGAAAGAATAAACTTTTTCTCTGTACCCCCACTCAATCAATCATAAAAGCCCTAACGTGCACTTTATCACTTTCCCAACCAACCTTTGTTCTGATATACGACCATAACCACCATAGGGTAACAATTTATTGCATAAATAACACAAACCTGGGAGATAAATTGCTGTAGATGTAGTGACAGCTGACTAGAAGAGGATCCCTGTTGAATGTGAGAAAGTTTTAACACTCGTAGTTTCTGGTTATTCAGACATTTCAACAAGAGTTCCACACCTAGTGTACCAAATTTATTATAGGATACGTTTAATTCTTGTAAGTTTGATGCTGTAAATATAGAAATAGTTATATAACACAGTTGAAAGTAAGATGTAAAGCAGAATAACAGTGGAGGCCTTAAAACAATTGGCACAGAGAAAAACACATCTAAGCTGACGCTGGAAATTCAATATTCCAGGGGACTGTTTCACACAATTCTAACTAAGATACAAGCAAGATTTTAAACACAGACTGTCAATGATTCCCTGTATTTGCTTGTTTAGTGTTCATTTTTTACGATACAATGACTTGCTAAACTGGTCATTGCACATTATAGACAGTGTCAACATATTTTTAGATTAATATTGGTGATCCCCTTGTAATTAATCTCTGATGATGAAAAGTGATAATATGAAAGATTGTACCCCACTTCAAAGTGACATCAAAGTCCCAATATCATTGTTGATTATGTAGTACCCTGATGAATAATATACATACCTATCAATGAGTTAGCCAGTATAATTCTATGATGTTGAAAACAGTTAGATGTTAATAAACAAGAGGACAAGTTTAATATAGATAGTGAAGGTAGAGATGATATCAGACTAGCTAGTGATGGTATACAACTATCACCTAATATATTATATTTAACATCTAAACTAGATAATAACTGAAATAGAAAGGTGTAGACTAAGCAAGCAAAACCTTGGAGTGTGCGATGAGGGATATTTGCCAAGATATTAGTGAGGAATTTTTCAATATGCACAGCTTGTAGAACATGGGGACTTAGTATACAGTTCCTTCCAAAGGACAAGACGCTCTTTTCATTCTCTAAGTTCTAAGTACTTTTCTGATTCCAATAGAACTAATGAAGAGAGACAATGCCTCCCAGTGAGGGAAATCATGGGATCTTTCTGACATACACACAGACTGTAGCAACCAGAGACTGGGTGCATACCAATCAAACACTCCTGTTCTTGGAAATAAAAACTAATACGGAAAGTTGTCTGAGCACTATACCAATTTTAAAAGGGATCACAATTACATTCGAAACTTTTGAATCTTGAGTAGCCTGTATCACTTATCGTATTTAACCAAATGACATTTTTCTCACCTGTAAAGCCTTGTTGTCCGTGGTTTTCTGTAGAGAGTCCGCAATGTATTTAAGACCTATACTGGAGATGTTATTACACGCCAGGTTCAAGGTGGTTAAATTAGGCATAGCTTCAAATATTTTACTGAGGTTCTCTACTCCATTATCACCCATACAATTTCCTACAAGATAAAATATCACTAGAATATGTCAGCTTATCAACAGTTTTACAAAAACATAATTCAACTCAAAGAAGCATAAGATAATATGGATATACTATTTCTAACTTCAGTTAAGACAAGTCCAATCTATTTTCTTGTTTTACCGATCCTTCCAACTCTATTTTCCTGCAATCAGAAGTTAAAAAAAACAAAAAACAAATCAGCTCTGCTGGAAAATAAAACCCCCAACAAAACACTTTCATACCTTCACACAAATTAGGTCAATAAAACAAGCAAATAAATTGATCTCACCTTAATGAAATATGTTTGTAAAATTACTAACCTTGTAGATTTAATACAGTAAGATTATTGGTTCCCTGTAGAGCTCTGAATATCGGTTGTAACTGAGTAGATCGTAATGCCAAGTCCCGTAACTCTAGCTGACCTGACGTTTCACTGGTTTGTAGAATATTACAGATGTTACCATATACCACTAGAAAAGAAAGTTGTCTTTCAAAAAATTCTTTCTATAGAAAAGTTACTGAAACCAGTAAGAGAAGGATGGGGGAGGGGGAACTCTGGATGTCTGGGAAAATGTTAATTAGTCAGGGAGTGACTTCAAGGTATGTTTGTTGTACAATTTTAAAATAATCACCTACACATCAACATACTTTAGTTTATTAAGATGAAATTGAGCTTTATCAGTTAAACAAATATTGTGACAGTGTCTCATTTGAAATATAATACCTACCAGTACTGAGTGTTTTACAGGCTTGTCTGTATCGTTGATGTAAGGGAGGTAAATCCCAACTATCTATATTACCAATCAGCTAGAATATATAACACAGACAATGTTAAACATTATTCAAAGACAGAATTTATATCTTTACAGTTTCAATTTTTGGGCTAATGAATACAGGCAACGCCATTTATACTGATGTCATTCTTCAATGTGACATCTAATTTTGTAAGAAAAGATTTTGTTGGCCGCTAAGTTTATAGGGCCTCCTGAATGCATTCCTGTAAAAGGATTAGAAGGAGGTTTAGCAGGTTTACCCCAGACATTCGTCCTGTTTGAAACGCCTTTCCAGTGGAAGCTTGACCAGACAATCGTAAATTGCTAATTCAATACCATACCTCATCATTATGAACTAGTACCATAGAAATAATATCTTCTGGTGAGAATATAGCGCCCTCTATCGTACTTAATGTTAACAGGGGCCGTAATCCATACAGACTAAAATAACGTTGAGATATTTCTTGACATAACCAGTTTATATTGTTGTTTTGATCACTGAAAAATACCACAGATATCATTTAATTCAAAACATTAAAATATTATATCGTAAGATGGCGCAACAAAAATGACCTTGAAGAAGCCATCTTTCCTCAATCGATTTTTTTCATTCATAGAAAATTCAATTCAGCAGTAAAATAATCTATGAAATTTAGGGACACATTGGCATATGCTTCTACTTTTTCTTAACGAGATGGCAAAGATGTTTGGATGTTAAAATATTTGTAGCAAGTGGCAATTGCTACCTCCAAGAGTGGCAAAAAACAATTCAATTTTGAACTGACCTGCTTGGAACTGGAATCAGCAAAACTTTCTCTTTTACTTTAACTTTGAGTCTCATCACACTACCCATTGGCTGCGTCCCAGTTGGATGTGCAGACGAAATAGAACTTAAAGCAGACACAGCACTGAGACCAAAGTTTGTACTTTGTGTTGAATTATTACCAAATATGGAAGAAGGAGCATCCATTGAATTACTGGAATCTGATTCCCAGGCATCAAGGTTACCAAAGTTCGTTGATCGACCAAAAGTTGTTTGAGAGGACTCTCTTCTACTGGAGTTTACACCAAAACTTGTCAGACGAGTTTGTTTTGGTTTCCGCTTCAATGATAAAAACTTTTGAGTCTTCCGCGTGGGTAACGTTGGCAACGTGTCTGGTGATGTGTCATCAATCTGAATAAAATCATCTGTGACATCATTATGGTTGTCAGGGGTAACAGACACATGATCGCTCTCGGCAACATCACTTAGATTATCTAAATCAACAGTTTCATCATTGTCAGAATCAATCCTAGGACGTTTATTTTTAGTTTTTGATGCACTACGTGTCGTGTTCCCACTCATAAATCCATCACAATCTCTAAACTTCCTTTTGATTGGTCCAACATCATCTATCAACCAATCATCACCCACGAAATTGTCTTCACCAATCAGAGCATTCGAGTCAGTCTGATCTGAAGGTTTACGGTTTTGAGCAGACTTTGGAATTTGCGAGGGAAGATTTTGAGCCGAAGTCCGCACCAATGAAATTGCATTTCTATAATTGTCTGTAGCACTCTGAACATTGTCGTTTAAATCGTCCAAAATGGCCGACCTGTATATTTCCTGAGAATCATAAGAATCTGGTGGGTTGTTTTCTGGTTCGCTATCTTCTGCTATCAAAGCTTTTGGCGCTTTTCTGAGAGAAAAAATATATCTTTTAAAAAGTAAAATTGTTAAAAGCTTAAAGGCCATGGTTTGCTATTTTGGGTGGTTGATTTGGGTCTTGAATATATGTAAATAGTCTGCAGAAAAACTGCACGAAAATTGGCATAATCAGAATAAAAAGACCTAAAACTAGAAATATTATTTTCTATTTCTACCAACATGTCTTTTTAATATATGTAAAAGTATCAAGAAAAGGCGAGTCATCATTTTAACTTTGAAACTTATAGAGCACTCTTTTCCCAAAACTTCAATCCAAAAATTAAAAATGACTCGTGGCTTTGAAATATTTTCTAATGGTTCTCAAGAAGTTAATCAAGCTTACTTGAGAGCAGAAAGTCGCCTTAGGCGTTGAGATTTTTCCATACAAGATGGGTCTGGAAGATTTTCCTCATCACTAGAATACTGGATGAAAGAGTCTATCGGTTGTGTTGTTGAGGCAGCAGATGGCTTTGGATTCTTGGTGTACAGTTTAGTAGCAGAACCTACAACGAAAGACAGAAAATTCACTTTGGCTTTCTGTATTAAAAATCCATACAAGCAAGACAATTCCGTCAAACAAAAATCTTGTTCAAAGAAAGGCAAAATCGGGAGTAGAGGTATCTACTGTTTTGATGGGGGTAAAGTTCATCTACTAGTTTGCCTGAAAATGTGTCTTGAACTCTATTTTAGAGGTGTTGATTTAGCTTGCTGCTATCTGTGCTATGAAGTAAATATTTTGTACAAAGACAGTGCCTCTAATTTGCAAAATTATTTCTCAAACAATCATATGATAAACTCTTGTCGTAAGTGTGGTATTTCTGTGTAAAATTATAAAGTTATGAAATTGATAAGAGATCAGGGTAGTTTACCTGTACCATTATGAAGTAATTTTAAGATATCGTGATATTGTATTTCTGTATCTCTATCTAAATCTTCTTGTCTCTCTTTCCATTCTAACAAACAATCTAACGCCTTGTTTCCCTAAATAACATGAACAGAAACTACAACTAACTGAGAAGAACCTAATGAACTGGATGTTTCGTTAGTTTTCTTGTAGGTAACAAAGGTATTATCTCGACCTATACCAAGATTGAACCCTGAACCTTCAGGTCAGTAAGCACACAGCCACAGACTTTGAATATTGACTCTAATGAAAATAAGTCAACTCAATAAAAAGCAGTGTCAATGTCAGGGGGCCAATAGAAAAGAGTAAAATGCAAATAGATTGAGGGCGAATTTTGAAGTTTATTGGAATATACTGGAGTAAACCTAGGTCCTCCCCCAGATGAGTAAAAGAAAAAGGATTGGACAAAACAAAAAGTTAATCTTACATCATCATTTTTGGCCAGTTTATTAGCCCCGCGATTCACCAATAACTCAATTGTTTCAAAATTCCCGTTCTCTGCAGCATCAATAAGGGGAGTAACTCCTCGGCACATATCACCACCACGATCGTCAATATGAGCTCCGTGATCCAGTAAATATTCTACTATAGGGTAATAGTTATAGTTGGCTGCCTCGTGTAGCGGAATCCAACCGGAGTTATCTCGCGGATTAACTGGATGTCCCTGAAAGAGACCAGAAACGAAATGAAATGTGATGAAGACAGTGTGCAGTGTGGGAAATTTTGACAGGAAGAGAAAGTCTTGAATAAGTCATCTTTTCTCGTTATTCCAGCTGTAAATGGGTATGGATAATCCGAGAAAGGTCAAAAGGTCACTGTCAAGAGTTTTGATCAAGGATCAGCTGTTGGAAAGGATCCTTGTGAACTCAAGTTGTTATGTAAAAATGGATGGTTTTCTCTAATCTTTCTAACCAATCAAATACCAGTATTTAGCCGTCTGTAAATGGCTGTCAGAATGGCTGAACACCAGACTGAAACATTGTATCAACAATGAAGTTTTACCTGTTCTATTAATTTCTTGACCTTCTTTAGATTATTCTCAATACAAGCTCTATGGAGTGGTGTTTCTCCCTTTTCATTTTTCTGTAAAAATTTCAATAAATACAATCAGTAAATCACGTTTCTTAATAGGAACTATTCAACAATTGTTCAAAAAGATTGTACATCAGCTCTACTACATTGAGATTTGTGATTAATTTAGAATTGTAAATTAGAAACTGTTCTTTGTATTGACTCTTTTAACCAGCCATATAATTACAGGTTTCACCTGAGCAGCCGGTGAAGCGGCCATTATAGAGTGGTCATCACACTAGAAGTTTTGGCAATGAGACGTTTTTTTAAATCACACTCAGTGTTCAAAGGGTTAAAATTAAGGTACCTTAATTTTAAAGGTGGATCTTCTGGAACACCTGGTACCACTACTGTTTGAGGTCATAGAGGTCAACATTACTGTTTCTTCTCCTTCATCCTCTTCATCTGAAAATATTGATCAATGAAACAAAATGGAGTATTACACATTACTTTTCTGTTAGTGAAGACAGATATTGCCATGTAGTAGTGTGCATGTATTGTTGGCGATATTTTTATTTTGGTGATGTTTTTTTCCTGAGCCTGCACTCAAAAAAAAAGCTTCATCATCCGATCATATTAATTCTCACTTCAATTGTAATATCGATTTAGAGAAACGACTGCCTGGAGATTTTCTGTCTCTTTGTGTGGCTGCAGGCGGTTTGTTGAACTCTTAACAAGACTCTAGTTTGCGTCAAAAATCATCGAAAAAAACATACCTGAATCTGATAACTCGGACATTACTACAGCTTCTTCATCATTTGATTCTATTGGTTGACTTTCTTCATCTGATATCTCGTCTAATTCGTTACTGAATTTCTCCCGTAGTGTTTTAATCTTATCTTCAGTTATCACTAGATGGTTAGATTGTTTATAATATTTCTGAGTTTCTGCTAGGGAGTTTAATACTGCCAGCTGAAATATAACATTGACGTGATGATGATTTCCTGATTTGAGAAAAACATGCTTCACAACTTAAAGCATTTCGTTAAGAGCTACAGTGGGTAAGAGAATTGAAATTTCTACTTGACTTCATTTCCTTTATTGATGGTTGTGGGTTCTAATCTCAGTTGGTATGTGACAGTCCAGTGACATGGAATAAGTAATCTTTTCTCATTGTTCCAGTCGACTCATTTGGTAGACAATTTGGTAGACAGGATACTTGTGAAGCTAAGTTGTTAATTCTTGTAACAAAGGTACGGTGGTTTCTTTCCTGATAATCTAAGTCTAAAGTCTGAAGAATCTGTACCTGTAATTTTCTATTAGTAGTTTTCCTCACTGCTTTAAAAGCTTCAAGATAAGAGTTATATATCTTGTTATAGCCCAGGTTTAATTTCTCTTCTAAATCAGCTATATTCAACCATGTTCTCCCAGTCTGCAGGAAAAAACAATATCATTGATTGAACAGTTGATTTTTATATGAAAATACTACTGTTATGTGTGAACAAAATAAAAAACAGGATTCAGGGGTGTCTCATGCCTCAAGTCTTATGTTTCAGTTTTCTAAGAGGCTACTGGTAAAGTGAAAGGTATTTTTGCAGTCCAATATAATTTTTAGGTAGAGTATGTAGTAATGTATAGAATAAATCTTGCTTGTTTATTTTCAATTCTTATTCATTCTGCCTAAAATACCAAAAGTAAGTGGTGTAATGTTTTGAATAGAACCCCTCCAGCTCAGACTCATTCAAAGTATGGATAAACTTTAACCTACCTGTTCTCGATTGTCTTTATAACATGCTAGTTCAGCTTTATAGTATTTTATAGCCTCCACATAGTTTTTATTATCAGCGTAAGTTCGAGCCAGTGAAACATAAATCGGCACCATTTCTTTATCTTCCAGTCCTAGATCTATCCCTAGCTCTAACTATAATGAAGAAAGAATGAAGGAATGAATGATTGAATGAGTAAATGAATAAATGAGTAAAAGAATGAATGATTGGATGAAAAAATGTATGAATGAATGAATGTAATCTTTGTTGGTCAAAATCTTAAATATGATCGATATTTCAAAATATCTTTGAGGGATTGTAAAGAGGTTTTCTAACTTTTTATTCTTATTTGGAGCTTTTCCAATTTTCAGTCAGACGTTTCAACTAGGACAAATCAACATGAAAAGTTAAGAACATATCTTTAGAATCCATTAAAATATTGTCATGTAAGAAAATGAAAGTAACTTACAACTTTATGGTAGTATACCAGAGCTTGTTTATAATTAAAGGCGTCTACAGCACAATCTCCTAGGGTATCGTACAGTTTTATTCTGTATTTAGGATCATCCACTGTTTCTAAATCATCAATAGATTCTTTCATTTTACATGCTGCAATAAAAATAGTTTCAAATGATATTCTATGATTCTGTAAAAGAAACGAAAATGTGGAGAATGATAAGGAAAGATTTGATTTCACAAACTTTAAATATGATTGAAAGGGAAGGAAATTCATGTATTCCTTTTCTGTGCCTGACTGAGCTAATGCAGGTGGGCAATGAGGGAAATTTTGCTAGAACAGGGGCATAAGTCTACCCCTAAATTCAAGAAATCTTTAACCTGTTGGGCATGAGAACATTA